CATTCTTTCTCTCTGTTTTTCTGCTCTCTTATTATTTTTACATTACATACAGCCGTTCGTAATTCCTTTCGTGGTCAAGGATTAATTTTTTAAATTCATATTACTCCGGACACGAGCTCGACGACACTGGAAACGCCGTATCCTTGAGATTCGTTTGTTTCATGCTCCCATTTCCATCTCGATTGGAAAGAAAGTAATTTTTTTCAGCGAAATTCTGGAAATGGGAACAAGTCCTTTCGCGATAGTCTACTCATGATACACACAATACATGGAATCCAGTGGAAAATGATTTCTTCCGATTTTTCAATAATTTTATACAGTTTGGGTTTTGCTCTTTTAACGCTGGAATTAAAATATAAAATTTTTATTACAGAAATTAAGATACAGAAGAATAGGAAAAATGTTTATAATGTAATAAAGAACGAAATCTTTTATTTATACCTATAAAGTTTCTACGAAATTCAGATCTATGAAACGCAATTGGTCACTTTGACCATTTCGATAGTTCTAGTGTTAATTAACCCTCCAGCCGCGGACAATTTTCATATTTTTTCTATAAAAAATCACGAGTGAAATGTATATTTTGTACAAATTTATCATGAACAGATTAGCCACAATGTAAAAATGTCATCAAAATAAGTAGAGAAAAGAAAAATATCCGGGTCGTCGAAGTTAACAGAATATGATTTTACTGTCATTTGCGGTCAGAGAGTTAATAGACAAATTTGGAAATATACGCGAGTGAGTCAGAGAATCAAATCGGTAATAGAAGTTAATTAATCACTCAAAATCAATTAATCGAAAATTTTTAAAAGGAACTATTAATTTAAATATATTCTTGAACAGATATATAATCATGAGACATTTATGAATAAAATATTTATAAATATTCAAATAAAGCTGTTAACTTCAATCCTTCCATTCTTACAACATTCTCTAAAGACATCAACTAGATCTTTTTCATTGCCTTTTTCAAAGAAATTAACATTGTTTCATAAGAATTGTAAAAAAATGATCTTGTGCCTTATTCTCTTAATGTTTGTGTCAATTATGAAATAGCATCAATGTGTAACAGAAAATTGTCGTCGAACATCGACTACTAATTCAACATTTACAGCAATAAAAAAATATACTAAATTATCTAAATAATCACATTTCAAGGTAAACGATATGTTAGTAACATTCAGTATTATACCAGCATGTTTAAACTGACGAGTATTTGATATGAAAATATTGTACATTGTAGCAAATATTTTCACTTATGATAAATTAAGCTTTCAAATTAAAATGCAAATCTTTACAGACAAATTCTTTTAACTTAACTTTGTTTTCGATCGCAAACGATAAGATTGTAAAGAGAAGTGTACGGTAAACATGACGATACAATTTAATCAATGAAATCTGGTCTGGAACAAAAATAGAAACGGTCGATTTTGTAGGGGGTTGCAACGAATCTCGACGACGAGTTCGCAAGAATCTTTAAAAATTGCAATAGCCTTGAGACTGTTCATTAGATACGTGAAATTCCACGCGTAGAAAGTCCAACGAACATTTCACCTGTTTTTCGTCTTCGAGTTTCACAAACCAACAAACCCACAACAAGTAAGATCTCAACGCATTGTCGAATTTGAAAATCAATTTCCGAATGAATCACTTTCAAGTACATTCTGTGTTCCACGCACAAAACCGATGGATCGTTCGTCAACCCCTTGTCTTATGTCGATATCCAATCACGCTGGTGCTACGAGTTCACGCTTTCGTGGAAAAGGAATACTTTAGAAAACCAGCAGATTGTAACTTTCAGTTTCGAATTTGAGATCTCAGTTTCTCCAGTCGAAGATTAACAGGCAGAAATTACACGAGTTGCAATAAACTAACAAACACGAAAAGAAAATCATAAGGCAAGGGGTTGAAAAATCGAGGAAACGATGTCGCAAGCTCGGCAGTTCGCATTGGTGAGATTTCTTTTTTTTTTTTAACTTTCAGAACCCTTACGATCGTCTAGAAATTCGTGAAGGAACTCGCGAAGGAGTTTCGTTCTCTCCTATGAAAACACGACGATACTTATTTTTCTTTTTATTACATACTCGTCTGAGGTTTCTTAATATTACCGTAATATTAATCTCCATTGCGTTTGACATAGTAATATATCCACGACAGATTTGTTTTCTTTCTCTCTCTTTATCTTTTCACTTTACGTTCGTGTTAGCGATCTTAACTTCAAATTGATCCTTCTCTCGTTTTTTTTTGTATTTTTTTGTTTTTAAATCATTTGTTAATAGAAAATTTCACTCGACAATTCTTCACAGACCAGCGTTTCGCGTTAATTTTTTTTTTTTTTT